ACAAAAATGTTAAAACTCTTTTGCAAAAACATTAGATTTTTCACCAAATATCATGTCCGTACACCCCACAACAAAATGGGCGGGTTGAAGGGAAACATCGTCATATTGTGGAAATCGGGATCGCTATGATGTTTCACGGGCACATTTTGGCATCTTATTGGGTGCATGCTTTTAGCTCCGCTGTGTTTATTATTAAATGGTTACCCACCAAGGTTCTTGACATGAAGTCGCCATTTGAGGTGTTGTTTCATCAGGTGCCTTCATATGACACTTTTCCGTCCTTTTGGATGTCACGTGTATCCTTATTTGCGTGATTATGCAGCTCACAAACTCTCTCCTCAGAGTATACCATGCGTCTTCATTGGTTATCATCCGCAATATAAAGGCTATCAATGTCTTGACCCGGTTTCCTCACGCATCTTTATTACACGACATGCCCAGTTTGATGAGACTTATTTTCCCTTTGGTGGTTCTTCCGGTGCGGCTCCCATGGCCTCTTTTCCTTTACATGAGTTTTTTTTGGAGATGTTCCAAGTATCCTGGTGCCCTAATCCCCGCCTATGGCTCCTCCAAGGTCGGCTGCCCCGTCTCCGCCCCCAGATCCATGTGAAGTTTTCCTGAAGCCCGTTTCTGTCGCACCTGAGGTCACCGAGCCTCCACCAGCAGCCGTCGATTCCGCCCCCGATGCCGATGCCGAACCGGACCTCACCGGGTCAAGCTCTTCTTCCCCAGACAAATCTTTTAGGCCCGACTCGGACACCGATCTCATTGACGACTCTGCTTCAGCCCCTCCCGAGCCCGAAGTGCCCTCGCCGACCCCCTTGTCCTCACACCCCATGACCACTTGCGCTAAGGAGGGGATTTTTAAGCCACGTTATCAGGTTGATCTTGCCCACTTCGGTCCTGTGGTCTGTTAGCGGTTGTGCTCTCTTCTCCGGATCCGGTTTCTCATGTCACTGCCTTGCATGAACCTAAATGGTGTAATGTTATGCGCTCCGAAATACATGCGTTGCACCACAATAATACTTGGACCTTCATTCCTTGTCCTCCTCACTCTAATATTGTTGGTTGTAGGTGGCTTTTTCGTACTAAGTACCGGGCGGATAGTTCTATTGAGCGGCACAAGGCTCGTCTTGTTGCCCAAGGTTTTAGTCAGGTGTCGGGCCTTGATTTTTCGCATACTTTCAGTCCTGTTGTCAAAGCTGCCATGATCCGTGTTGTTCTTTCTCTCGGCATTGTAAATGGGTGGCAGCTGCGTCAACTTGATGTTAAAAATGCCTTTTTACATGGCAAGTTGGGTGATACAGTTTATTTGCAGCAACCCCTGGGGTTCGTTGATACTCGGTTTCCTAATCATGTTTGCAAGCTCAACAAAGCTATCTATGGGTTGAAGCAAGCTCCGCGTTCGTGGTTTCATCGGTTGAGCTCTTTTCTGGTTACTCATGGATTCTCTTGTAGTCGGGCTGACCCATCTTTATTTGTTTTTCGTTGGGATCGTTGCATTCTTTACTTGTTGGTGTATCTAGATGACCTGATCCTCACTGGATCTGACACCTCCGTTATGTCTAGCTTTATTGCCAAGCTTCATGCTGAGTTCCGTATTAAAGATCTTGGGTGCTTGAGTTTTTTCCTTGGCCTCGAGGTGACGTCGCTTCCACACAGTCTCTTCCTCAACCAGGCCAAATATGCTCATGACATTGTTTCTCATGCAGGTCTACTTGATGCTAATCCCATGGCGACTCCCAGTGCCACCAATGCCTCTCTTGTTAGTGATGGTCCCCTTTATGAGTACCCCACGCGCTATCGCTCGTTGGTCGGTGCACTTCAGTATTTGACGATTAATTTACCGAAAATTGCATATGCTGTGAATCAGGTCAGCCAGTATCTTACTGCTCCGACTGTCGCTCACTTTCAAGCTGTGAAGCGTCTTTTTCGTTATGTGAAGGGAACGCTCACTTTTGGTCTCACTTTTTCTCGGCCCAAGTCTACCTCTATTGTGGGTTACTCTGATGCGGATTGGGCTAGTTGTCTTGATACCCGACGTTCCACTTATGGCTACTCGATATTCCTGGGGGGTAATCTTGTATCTTGGAGTGCTAAGAAACAGTCGACCGTTTCTCGCTCCAGCTGTGAATCTGAATATCGGGCCATGGTGAACACGGCCGTTGAGATTATTTGGCTTACTTATCTTCTGCGTGAGCTTCATGCTTTACCTTCTGGTCGGCCGACCTTCCTTTGTGATATACAGAGTGCGCTCTTCCTCACCCAGAATCCTGTTGCTCACAAACGTGCCAAACACATTGACATTGATTATCATTTTGTTCGTGAGCTCGTTGCATTTGGCAAACTTATTACTATGCTCGTTCCAACCAAGCTTCAGGTTGCGGATATCTTCACCAAAAGTCTGCCTCGTCAGCAGTTTGAGCAGTTTCGTCGCATGTTGCGCCTTGGTCCACCACATGTCGCTTGAGGGGGGATATTAGACTACACTTATTTGTATTACATTTGTATGTCATTTTTTATTCTTTGAGGGGTTTATATGTAATTATCTCCACTATATAATGAACATAACCCCATGTCTTTTGACATGGAGATTCATTTACATAGGAAATCAATAGCTTTGATCCTCGAAAATCAAATATCAAAGCTTTGAGTTCATACTTCTTCATTCTTACTTTTTTCTTCATAATTGTTCAAAATCATTGAATCACAATCAAATCAAAAGCCTTGAATCTTGAAAGTTTGAAAATCCGAAGGAAATTGAAACTAGAGTAAGGTTTGGAAAATTAGAATCTATGTCTCAGGGAAAATCAAAAGGTATTATACAGTTTTTATCTATATGATACATTTATAATATTTGTTTAGAGGTTGTATGGTATAATTTATGATTGTTGCTTTTTCTGGAAATCATATTTTTTTTATAGGGAGTAATTCAAAAATCCGAATTCGAAAATCATAATGTATTCTCTATTCTCAGAATTTGTTTATAAGAAGTAAATCAGAAGTTAAAATGTTTCTGATTTCAAATTTTTTGGACTTTAGATGGTTGTTTTCAAGTAGAATGATGGTTGTTATAAGTAGAAACATTTTTTCTGTGTATTATTTTGAATGAAACTTTAATTTATGTATTTTGCACTAGAAAATGAATTCAAGTTTTAGGGCCTCTTTTTTGTAAAATTGAAAAAGGCCTCCGAAATCTCGAGACCGGCCCTGACACCTTGTTTCCAGTTTCACTGGTGATCTTGAAATGAAAATTTCCCCGTCAAGTACATATGGATAAATTGATTATTTCTCGCTCCCTTTAAGAAACCTAGATCATGTTCTTTTTATGGCCTCCATCGTTAAATAATAAATAAATAAAAATCTTTTAGTTTTGTTAAAAGTCATCCTACTTTTATTCCAAAGAAAAGTTACTAGAAACTCATTTTTTTCCCTTACAAACCACTACAGGTGATGATTTTATCAGTTAAAAACTTAAAATTCAACGCTTGAAAAAAAATTCAATAAGTTTGGTCGATTAAATAAAATAAAATAATGACTTTTTCACATAATAATTGTCAAATACAACGACTTTTTCTACAACAATCCGCATGGAATCAAACAAACTTAGATAAAGTCGTGACAATATGTTATATACTAGTTGTGAGATTCATGTATTCCATGGGTTAAGTTAAAAAAAAAATTTAAATATGAAGGTCTAAATAATTGAAAACTTTGAATTTATAAGAAAATAAGAAAAATAATGAATTATTAAAATTGAAATGTTTTTAATCTTTTAAATTTAAACAAATAATTTAAATAAATAAACAAAAGAAACTAATAAACTCTAATTTAAAAATTTTGAAATTAGAATGTAAGCTCATTAATTAAATTGATATTCATTTATTACTATATTTATTACAATTATTAATTAAATCTACTCTAATAAATGAAGGTTTTTTTGTCACATTTCACACTCTTATTCAATTTGCCAAATGTCATCTTGTGGTTATTTTGAGTTAATTTTCTTTCCACATGTCATTTTATGAGTTTTTTCTATTTTAATAAATTCCACATAATTACAATTATTAATTAAATCTACTCTAATAAATGAGTTTTTTCTATTGTAATAATTATAATAAATGTAGTAATAAATACATATCAATTTCATTAATGGACTTACATTCTTATTTCAAAATTTCCAAATTAAAATTTATTATTTTATTTTGTTTATTAATTTAAATTTTAAAGATAAAAAATAATCAATTTTAATAATTCATTATTTTTCTTATTTTCTTATAAATCTAAAGTTCTTAAATATTTAGACATTTATATTTAATTTTTTTAATTAAGTCATGTAATACATGTGTCTTACACTTAGTATTATATGAAAATTAATAAAATAGAAAAACCCATAAAATGACATGTGGAAAAAAAATTAATTCAAAATTACTACACATTTGTCAAATTGAAAGAGAACATGTCATGTGGTAAAAAAAAATTTTATTTATTAGGGAGGATATCAAAAGTATTGTATTTATTTTTCTACAAAAGAACCCGACAAACATCTTCAATATGAGTCCCTAGAATACAAAGGATTAAGGAGCAAACCACCCATGGTTGCCTCATGGAGTCGTGGTTCCGTTTCACCCGTGAAGTCGCTTTGGAATCTACCCAAATTCCAGGCACACACCCCGACACCCATTCTGACTATAATCATCTTAATTTTATGTCAACAATCTTCAACATTAAAATCATTAAAAAAACGATCTTAATCTTATATCAACAATATTCATCCAAAAAAAAAAATCACTAGCGTATTCTAACCACAAACCACCAATAATCGGATCGTATATATCTAAAACGATCGGACCCTACAGCGATTTTTACCTTGTGTATTAAAAGGTGTAACTTATTATGGATTCCGAAAAAGAAACAAAGCCCTATAAAACCTACACTTCATTGAGAACTCCAACGACTTTATTCCTGCTTTTGAATCATTTGTGAAAACTCTTGTTGAAATGGTTTCTTCTTCTTCTTCTTTCCTACTTCTTCTTGTTGTCGGCATTACTTGCACTCAAAACCGTAGTCTTTTTGTCAATGGAGACATCGATTTGATCCAAAAAACCTGCAAAACCACAAAGTTTTACGACCTCTGCATATCATCTCTCCAATCCGACTCAACCAGTTCAGAAGCCGACACAAAAGGGCTCGCGATTATAATGGCGAAAGTTGCAGTCGCGAATGCCACTAACACAAACTCCTACTTATCATCCAATCTACTCGTTAAGAACACGAACGACAATTTGAAAAAGGCGTTGAAGCAATGTGCAGATAAGTATTCCGCCGCAGGTATGGCATTGCAAAATTCCGTTCAAGATTTGACGTCGGAGTTCTACGACTATGCGTATATGCATGTGATGGCGGCTGCTGATTACGCGAATGCGTGTCATAACGGCTTTAAGAGGTACCCACGGTTGGTTTATCCACCGGAGATTGCAGCGAGGGAGGAGGGTTTGAAGCGTATTTGTGACGTGGTTATGGGAATCATCGATGCTCTCGCGAATTAAGATTATTGTGTAATTTTGGTTTGGTGTCTACAAATTGTATGTGTTTTTTGTAATCGTGTTTGAGATTTGTGTATTGTGTATGTTAACAAGGTTTTCTTAATGATTCAAATTTCTGTAAATAGTTTTTTCTTTTTCATAATGCCTACATAAAAGACTTATCACAAATAATCTTTTCACTTTTCAGCCAGCGAAAAATATAATATGATTTAGAAATGCGAATTATTCGTGAATTTGAGTATATTCGTTAAGTGAGCGTTAAAATTAGCTAGTAATTTATAGTATTAAAAAGTAACATCACAAATTAACAAGGTCTTTTTACCATCAAAACAAGTACCAAAATTGATCTTTATCTTATAAAAAATGTAAACCCACTTAGGTTAAGAGAATTAGGGTTTCACTTATGATTTTTTTAGTGCGACTTATACAAAGCACCCACTATAATTCTATATATAATTATATTGTATTAAAAAACCCTGAAAAATAGCCATATATTGTCACTTAATGAAATAACTCTATAAAAGCACGTTATCTATTTTGTTTTTCAGTGCCCCGCATGGGTCAAAGTCAAAACTCAAAAAAGCTCAACCCCTTAAATCACGTGCTACCCAATCCATTAATAATTGCGCGAATATTATTTCTAAGGCCCGTGGATATGAGTTTAAGACGCGGGTGTGGGCAACGGTATAAGATGTTATTGTGACTTGACACCTAACAACGTCGTTACTATGGCTGCAACACCGCTGCACATCGGCGTTTTTAGGTGCTACGTTGCTGGTCGTGGTCATGGTAACGAAGTGTAACGGCATTTATTTGGACGTTGGTTTCCTATTTGACCGTTTTCAAACGGTTATATATATATATATATATATATATATATATATATATATATATATACAACACCTAATTTTTAATCACCATTCTATTTTCTTTCTCTCTATTTCATAAAAACTTTCAACAATTAAAAAAATTGATCTTTTTGATCTGTTCCACTCGTTCAACGATGATAACGATGGCGACGATATCTTTGTGATTATAATGTACCGGTATTCTACGGACGTGCTATTACAACCCGATCCAGCTCCGCTACTCACACAATGTGCGACGTTAAATAGAGATCGCAAAGAAATGTTGCAACTTTTGGGTGTGATAACATGTTGCCCACACCTACCAGCCCTAATAACTAGTTCAAAGTTTTAGTAGCAAAATAATAATAATAATAATAAATAAATAAAATAATGATGACATGGAAATTAGAGGGTGTTCTATCATGTTGTCCGTTTCCACACTTTGTATTATAACACTATATATGACATGGCTGGTGAGGTGACAACTTTTGTGCATGATAACATGTTGTCTACATCCACCAACTTAAGTTATAACATTAATTTTTTGTCAATCTCAGATGCCATATCATTCTCTACAAATATAAAATAATCACCAAATCTACACACCAAAATCATTTTCATGTTAGTTGTAACATCCAATTTTTAGGTATGAATTTTATGCCTTAATTTTGTGGAATTTTGGTGGTCAGGACATGGTGGGGAGGATCACTACGACGTGATAACAACTTTTGGGTCACATTCATTTTAAGTGGCCACGACGTGGTCATGTATTGGCCACAACGTAGCGACGTCCCAAGCTCAAAACCTAATTTTACGGGCTTAAGGTCGTATTCAAAATATATGATGACTAGGATTTCGTCCACCCTCGGCCTCCATCCCCTCTAAGTGCTTAGATCCAAACCTTAATCCCTGCTCCTCCATTTTAAGGCTCTTTGTGGCATTCTTGGTCTTGTGAAGGAAGAAAGAAGTGTTGTGGAGTAAAATGATCAATAAGCTAGCTTCACATTAGTCTCCTTGAGCTCTTTTATGGACCTTTGTAAGTCTACAAGCTCATATCTTTTGCTATACCTTTCTATATTTAGGTTTTTATGTATATTTCTTCATGTATGAGATGGTTTGAATGGTTGGGATCAATAAAGTTGGCAAATTTTCTGATCCTTGAGGTCCCAAGAGGGTTAACTGCTCCAGATCTGAAGTATTATGTAGTTTTGAGTCCATGCATGGGGTTTTGACCTCATTTCTCCCATTTCTGACCTAGTTTAAGTGAAAGACATGCATGTCTACAAATTAAGGATTTTTATAATGGATATAAGTGTAAAGATGCCTTCTGGAAAATTTGAGCAAAGGACTTAACAGATTTAGAGCTTAATCAGTTAAGATGCCTTCAGCCAGGAACCACGACGTGGCATGTTCCTCGCCCTGACGTGGTGAAGGGGTTTATGCGATTGTTTTGTCATGTTGTTGCCACGCCGTGGTGGTGGAGATGGTCGTGACTTTTGGTCAACTAAGTAGTTTTAGATGATAGACTAAGGTTTACCCTTGAATGTTTCATTAGGTGGTGGGTAGCACCAACTTTTCGTCTGTGAGAGTTTTGGTACTTCGACTTCGATTGTGAGGTGAGTCTTCTCACTATACTATGTAAGATGCTAGTTGTCTTTGTGAATTTTGCATGAAAGCTCAGGATCTGGCCCTTGGCAATTGTATGGAAGACCAGGATATAGCCCCTGACAATTATATGAAAGACCAGGATCTAGCCCCTAACACTTATACCTAAGACCAGGATTTGGCCATTGGCATTGCAAGGAAAGACCATGATTTGGCCCATGATAGAAAGTGATTGTAAGATTATGATTTGGGCCATAACATTCACTTAGGGTTAGAATAGACCCACAAATTTTATGTATGATATGTGGTATTTTGGGGAACTTACTAAGCTTTGTACTTACGGTTTTATGTTTACATGTTTCAGGTAATTCTGGTTCCAAAGGGAAGGGTCCGACTTGATCGTACTGCATCCCCTAGAGTTTTCCGCACTATCTAGTTTATGACTTTACTCTGATGTTTTCAAAAATACATTATACTCTGATTATCTTTTAAATGATTGAATGAAGGGTTTAGGTCATTTTTGGTCACTTAACTTTTGGTTTTGTGCTCATTTGGTCACTTAACTCTTTTTAAGTTTGAAAAGGTCATCAAACTTTTGACTTTGTGCTCATTTAGTCACTTAACTTTTGGTTTGGTCACATTTAGTCACTTAACTTTTAGATTTTTGCTCATTTAGTCACCTAACTTTTAAAATTGTGCTCATTTAGTCACTAAACTTTTGAAAAAATTTAAAAGTTTAGTGACTAAATGAGCACAATTTTAAAAGTTAGGTGACTAAATGTTACCAAACCAAAATTTAAGTGACTAAATGAGTACAAAACCAAAAGTTTGATGACCTTTTAAAACTTAAAAAGAGTTAAGTGACCAAATGAGCACAAAACCAAAAGTTAAGTGACCAAAAATGACCTAAACCCTTGAATGAATGGTTTTGGTTTTTAAAATAATGAAATTTTTACCTTGTATTTTTGGTACGTTACATTAGCATCATAATAGATTATATAATATTAAAAAATATAACATTTAAATTGGAAAAAAGACATTAGAAGACCAAAAAATACATAATTTATTTTTTTCTAAATACACTACTCATCATCATCGTTAGCATCATTGATATGATCCGCCAAGTCTTGTCAAAGTTATGTTTTTGTGTGTCTTGAATATCAATGACTCTATGCAAATATTCCACTGAACTTATGTGTTGGGGCTCCGTTGGCATATGTTGTGTAATATTTCGTCCTTTATCTTCCACTACCATGTTATGCATTATGATACACACATACATATAATATATCGTAGAGTTTTTATCTTATATGGTCGTGTCACATGTTCTACTATGTGTCACTTCGCCTTTAGAACTCCAAAAGCACGTTCCACATCCTTACAAGATATTTCCTATCTCCTCTTGAAGTTGGTTCCACTGGGTGTCAAAATGTCTTCACGAATGTGAAATACGTTTTGGTGGTAACGAGGCTCGACACGACTTGAACCCGGGATAGTGTTCTCTTAGCCTTAACGACATTAAAAGCATTATACGTAGGATCCTCCACTACGTGGAGGACTAGTACCATACAACCTTTTTACTTTACTATTGCATTATTTGTATATATTTGTTGGGTTTTCTAAATTACTTGTATAAGAAATTCACACTTATTAATGTTCAATACACAGAGTATTTGATTTTAAAAAAGTTACAAATCTAGCCATTATTCTTAATGACTTTTCACTTAATAGCCAAAAATAGCATACCAACACAATAGACGATTAAGAAAACCTAGTCTAAAACCTACGGTTTTGTCTAAATCTTATGGTAATAAACTATGGTTCAGAGCTTATGGGCTACGATTTTGGAGCCCATCTACGGTATGAGGGTCCATTAGCCCCAAAATATATAAAGTTAGAAAATTTCATTTAGGTCGTTTTTGGGTGTTTGAAGCTAGTGAAACGCTCTCCAATAATGATTTAGAGCTTATGGGATACGGTTTTGGAGCGTATCTACGGTATGGGGGTCCATTAGCCTAAAATATATAAAGTTAGAAAATTTTATTTAGGTCGTGTTTTGGTGTTTGAAGCTAGTGAAACACTATCCAATAACGGCTCCGAAAAACAAGAAGTTTTTTCTCATAAACTTCTTTTTTATTTGCTTTTTACCGTTTACCTTGAAAGGTAATAGTAGTAGGGGTGGAATTGGTATGGTACCAATTCGTTTTTTTCTTAAACCGTATACCGTACCAACTATAATTAATATAAAAAAATTGTTATCGGTACCGTACCAAATATACTTGGTACCAATATATTTGGCTACCAACAAGTTTGGTTGGTACAAATTGGTAATGGTATATACCGACTTCTTTTAATTTTTTATTTTAAGAATTTAAAATAAGCAAATACATCGGATTATTTTGATTTTTAGTAAAGAAATTAGTTATGTAGTTCTTTTAATTTACAAATGAATTATATTCAAGTAACGCTAAAGTAATGTATTAATTTTGTGTTTTAACGTGGTAATAACTAACTTATATTACTTTCTTAAAACTCTAAACACTAAAAACA